CCTCCCTCAACCAGCTGGTGGAGTATTACCAACACACATCCATCTCCAAGCAGACCAAGGTGTTCCTGCTGGAGACCGGAACCCAGGTAGGAACAGATAGAGCAGAAGTACAGATACTCGTGTTTTAAAATACTCTGGTGAAAGTAGAAGTACTGACTAAACTTCTTTACTCAAGTCAAAGTAAAGAACTTTGAAATGTACTTCAGTCAAAAGTACCCATAACTAGCAGCTGTTTTAAAGAGTACCTGACCTCCCTTTATATTAATAGAACAATAATGTCATTGTTAGCTAATGAATGTTTCCATGCTGAACAACGGCAACATGACAACGTTTCCATTGGTCCCTCTTCTTTAGAGAAGAGCAGGAAATGATGGATACACGGATCGTGTTCAAATCAATAGGCACGCAATGACTCTAAAGAATAATGATCATGCATCAAACACACATTCAGACTAAAGGAACCAGCTGTTTGGAAAATGAGAGAAGTAGAAAGTACAGGTATTTGAGTTCAACATGTAAGAAGTAGAAAGTACAGATATTTGAGTTCAACATGTAAGAAGTAGAAAGTAAAGGTATTTGGGTTCAACATGTAAGAAGTAGAAAGTACAGATATTTGAGTTCAACATGTAAGAAGTAGAAAGTAAAGGTATTTGGGTTCAACATGTAAGAAGTAGAAAGTACAGGTATTTGGGTTCAACATGTAAGAAGTAGAAAGTAAAGGTATTTGGGTTCAACATGTAAGAAGTAGAAAGTACAGGTATTTGTGTTCAACATGTAAGAAGTAGAAAGTACAGGTATTTGTGTTCAACATGTAAGAAGTAGAAAGTACAGGTATTTGAGTTCAACATGTGAGAAGTAGAAAGTACAGGTATTTGTGTTCAACATGTGAGAAGTAGAAAGTACAGGTATTTGGGTTCAACATGTGAGAAGTAGAAAGTACAGGTATTTGTGTTCAACATGTGAGAAGTAGAAAGTACAGGTATTTGTGTTCAACATGTGAGAAGTAGAAAGTACAGGTATTTGTGTTCAACATGTAAGAAGTAGAAAGTACAGGTATTTGTGTTCAACATGTAAGAAGTAGAAAGTACAGGTATTTGTGTTCAACATTTGAGAAGTAGAAAGTACAGGTATTTGTGTTCAACATGTAAGAAGTAGAAAGTACAGGTATTTGTGTTCAACATGTAAGAAGTAGAAAGTACAGGTATTTGTGTTCAACATGTAAGAAGTAGAAAGTACAGGTATTTGTGTTCAACATGTAAGAAGTAGAAAGTACAGGTATTTGTGTTCAACATGTAAGAAGTAGAAAGTACAGGTATTTGTGTTCAACATGTGAGAAGTAGAAAGTACAGGTATTTGTGTTCAACATGTGAGAAGTAGAAAGTACAGGTATTTGTGTTCAACATGTAAGAAGTAGAAAGTACAGGTATTTGTGTTCAACATGTAAGAAGTAGAAAGTACAGGTATTTGTGTTCAACATGTAAGAAGTAGAAAGTACAGGTATTTGTGTTCAACATGTAAGAAGTAGAAAGTACAGGTATTTGTGTTCAACATGTAAGAAGTAGAAAGTACAGGTATTTGTGTTCAACATGTAAGAAGTAGAAAGTACAGGTATTTGTGTTCAACATGTAAGAAGTAGAAAGTACAGGTATTTGTGTTCAACATGTGAGAAGTAGAAAGTACAGGTATTTGTGTTCAACATGTGAGAAGTAGAAAGTACAGGTATTTGTGTTCAACATGTGAGAAGTAGAAAGTACAGGTATTAGTGTTCAACATGTGAGAAGTCAAAGTAAAAAGTTGTCAGAAAAATAAGTAGTGGAGTAAAGTACTAATACCAGAGAAATATACTTAAGCACAGGAACGCAGTATTTGTACTTCCCACCTCTGATGGTCACCTTCGAATGAAAACTAACAATATATAATATATATACTTATTGTTATGTACTAAGGAGGGATTTGAACAGAAACTTCCTTTAGTATTGAAACAGAGTCGTAGCAATTGATTTCAAATTAGGATTGTGATTCAATAATTGAAATGATATATACAGAAGGGGATTATGTGTGCAACATCTATGTGAGTTTAGTCAGGATTTTTAGATTAAAGTCAGATTTGCATTATTTTATACACAAATATATAAAGACAGTAAACAGAAGTACTAAATGAAATCCATATAAAGTAGTGTATTTTATTGTTTTTGTCTCAACAGCAACGAAGGGGCTCAGAAGATGTTCTTCCTTCCCAGCGTCCTCTGCCACCTCCTCCCTCCTCCGACTGCCCACCTGCATCTGCACCCGTGGCACCACGACAGGTGTGTGTGTGTGGTGTGTGTGTGTGTGTGTGTGTGTGGTGTGTGTGTGTGTGTGTGTGTGTGTGTGTGTGTGTGTGTGTGTGTGTGTGTGTGTGTGTGTGTGTGTGTGTGTACATGGCAGCATAATGAATTTGAACTGCTGTACCTCGGTATCAGTTTATTCAGAATTCTGCCAGTTGTTGCCTAACTTTTTCAGGGATTATGGAGTTGAGGACATTCAGGAATTAAACACAGTCATACAGAGGAGACTGGTGAATTGCTTAAGGCCACCTGGGCAGTAGCCAGGAGGTGAACCGGTGACTCTCCAGTTCCAAAGTCCATGTAATGCCCATAAGAGAAGTTGATCGTGGTTGCAGCTGTAATATTGTACCTGAATGACTTTGAGTGTGTGTGTGTGTGTGTGTGTGTGTGTGTGCGCGCGTGCGTGCGTGTGTGCGTGTGTGTGTGTGTGTGTGTGTGTGTGTGTGTGTGTGTGTGTGTGTGTGTGTGTGTGTGTGTGTGTGTGTGTGTGTGTGTGTGTGTGTGTGTGTGTGTGTGTGTGTGTGTGTGTGTGTGTGTGTGTGTGTGTGTGTGTGTGTGTGTGTGTGTGCAGGTCAGAGCTCTGTACACTTTCGAGGCAGAGGAGCCGGACGAGTTGGAGTTTAACACCGGAGACGTGATCTCGGTGCTGGAGAGCTCCGACCCGACCTGGTGGAGAGGAGCTCTGAGGGGGAAGAGTGGCCTGTTCCCCTCCAACCACACCACCCCCCTCTGACACACACACACACACACACACACACACACACACACACACACACACACACACACACACACACACACACACATTCAGTTCTAACATTTATAACTACGTACATCAAAACGCTGTTCACAAGTGAATAGTGTGAAGGAGTTTTTTGTATAGGGATGAAGCTAAAGATCGTGATCACATGAATCAAAACGTTTTGGAAATCTCACACTGTAAATCAAAAGACGCCACTTTATGTCATTGATAAACCCATTCAATAAAAGTAGTTTGTTATATATGAGTGTATGATAAAACAATCCAGACATGTTGTATTGTTGTAATTTAAGAACCTTTAAATGTGCTGCTTATATGCTGAATGAATGCAGATGTACCAGCGATGGTTGAGATACTGAAAAGGGAAGAGCAGAATACAAAATATACCACATTTTCAAACTCATGGGCGTACATGTTAATGCTGTATATGTATTACTCTATAGTGAGTAATGAACATTTACTTGTTAGGACCCAGTGCAGTCTAGTGTCTGCCCTTCTTACTGCAGTTTTAACATACGAAATTGTGTGGTTTCAAATAGGCTAGATTTAGTTTTACTTTCAGCTGTGTCGTTGTTGTTGCTTTTAAATTGTCTATTGTGTTAACTTGTACTTGTTTCATGGTGTGTGAGTTGTGCTGTGTGATTTTGTTGTATGTTTTGTTTGTTTATTTGACTGTGCATCACTTTGGTCTGGAGGTTTTAAAGTGCTTTATAAATAAAGCTGTTTGCATTGTATTTGCAGAAAGGAGTTAAAAACTAACTGCAGTTTAGCATCAAAGCAGACACAGCTGGAAAGGTGACGTACTCAGTGGCGTTTTTATATGTACGAAGGTGGTGGGGCACGAACAACTTAGATGTGTGTATACAAGCTTCTGGGGCTTTTTTAAACAAGTAAACAAATAGCTGTAGATCAGGGGTGCCCAACCTTATTTGAACCGAGAGCTACTTTTAAAGTTGCCAGTCTGCCGAGATCTACCAGTCCAAATAGAGAGAGGTAGTTACTGACAGCCTACTACCAGGTAAATACACACTTCTACTTGTATAAAACTGACCTTTGTACGATTAATACCTCATAAAATACTGCAGATGCCTTATCTTACCTCTTTCTAATCTACACACATACAAGTATTTAACTGAAGTTACACAACAGTGTTGTTGATACAGAGTTGGAGTTTATTCACACGTCACTACAGTGGGTAATGTTTTCAAGAAACATTGAACAGTGCTGCCACATATGACACAGGGAAAAAGAAAATACTCTGAACCCTTTCTTTGCCATTAAAATTAGGCTTACTAATAAGACGACTCAGATCTGAAGCTGCTCAGGAATCTGCTGCCAAAGTGCAATAAAAAAGACAACATTAATAGAATCAAACCATTTTTTTGTTGCATTTTAGTAGATTATAAAAATAAATGCCTTTAAAATAGGATGCAAGCAACACTAGTTTCTTAACCTGAATTGATAATAGACTATAATCAATTTAAGTTTGCATTCTTATACCATTTTGTACAATAATTATAATGAATAAGTTCAAACTAAAACTTACAGCTGATTAATAACGGTATCTAACTTGAGTTTTTATTATATCAAAAACCTGTTGAAATGCTACTGTTATTTTTACTGTCCCCCAAAAGCGCGTCGCAGCCTCCAGGAAAGCTTCTTTCACAACTTCGCCGTCTTTGAAAGACTTCATGTGTTTCGCAAGAACGTGACTGACTCGATAAGATGCTGTGGTAGCAGCCTTGCTCTTGTTGTTGAGCCTGGTGAAAATGGACTGCTGTGCATTGAGCTGTCCTTTCAGGCCCCTCCCCTTTTGGAGCGTAGGGCAGAATTAGGAGGGAATTCCGTCTCGTAGCGTTTGTGCACTGTTTTGAAATGCCGCTCCTAAATGACCCTTCTTCGATAAAGCCACGCTCACATTGCAGATGAGACAGATGGACTTTGAATTGGATTAGATATAAAAATAAATAATCATCCTCCCACTCGGAGTGACAATTATATATTTTGGGCTTTTTTGCTTCTGCCATAATTGCGGTCTTGTGTGTGTGCGGACTGTCACTCCTGTTGACACGGACAACGTTAGCGAAATAGTGCCCACTGCCCACCAGCCACGCCCCCACCCATGGGGTCACGCCGGCCAATCACAAAGCTTTGGTGCGTTCAAGTGCATTATTCTGGCACGGGAAGATTATGTTATAGGACATTAACTATAAAACTGAATATTGTTGTTCTATTTTTAGACACATCTCGCGATCGACTGGGAATCTCCCCGCGATCGACCGGTCAACTTCAATCATTTTCTTTCCGTTTTACTGATTTTAATCGCTATACGCTGCTCTCTCGTCTCCTCTTCACATCTAAACTTTTCACAGAACTCGTATTTACAGCCAATCAGCTCTCTGATTTAAGAGATGACGTTTGGTGAGTATGGCAGCACAGTGCCCCTTTGGTGATTATTTTTGTGCCGCACACATTGAATAGAAAAACACTCTGAGCATGCGCAGTGTAGTTTTTACAGCACACGTTCATTTTAACCGCAGAGAGAGGGGCTTGATCGGGGCTTGCCCCACGTTGCTCACACGGCTCAATAGGCCCACTGTAGACACTAGTTAGAAGACTGCAGACTAAAACAGCAATGTACAGACGAATCAGACGACTTGTTAGCAGATTTAGACTTAAACCTTTTTGTCTCCTGCAGCAGAAAGGTGAATAATCTCAGCAGTTCAAGTTTAGCCATTCATCACGGCGTTATTCATTATAGGCACACATCTCAAGAGGCTTGAGGACAGAGAGAGAAGGGTGACTTCCAACGGTCTTATACCCCAGATAGTGACATCACAATCATGTGGTACAGCGCTAACCAATGAACACAGAAGTCGCAGCTACTTACATAGACAATATGGTACACAGTAATACATGGAGTCATACAAGTCTGTATGTTATATCTCAACACTCCAACTTATGAATTATGTGCTTACCGTTTACCTGTTCATATCTAATCAACAAAACAAAAACATGGTACAAATGATTTAAATGTGGGCTTCTTCCACACATTTTACACACCAAACATGATCCCTTCAAATGTCCTCAGCTTCAGTTTGGAAGCAGGCTTGGTCATCACATCTGCAACCATTTCGTCTGTAGGACAATAAACCAGTGTCATCTTTCCCTGCCTTATGGTGGACCTAATGAAGTGGTACTTAATATCCACGTGTTTACACCTTTGTCTACACACAGGATTTTTAGCAAGGGCTATTGTCCCCTGATTGTCCTCGTTTACAACTCTTTTCTTATACACATATGTGTCTATCCCTTCCAGTAGCTGCTCCAAGTAAATACACTCCTGTATTGTTAGAGCTCGAGCCATATACTCAGCTTCACATGTGGAAATCGCTACTGTAGGCTGTTTCTTGGTTTTCCAAGAGACTAGTGAGCTGTCCTTACTCATGCTCACACAATACCCTGTCATACTGCGTCTATCTGTTTTATCTGCAGCCCAATCAGCGTCACTATAAGCCTGCAGGCCTAGTTTCTCAATGCTCTTTCTGAAACAAAGCGGCTTGTCTGCAGTATCCCTGAGATAACAAAACGTGTTTTACTGTAACCCAATGTTCATCTGTCGGTTCAGCAAAATATTGTGATAACTTGCTTACCACGAAACATAGGTCTGCACGTGTACAGGTAGTCAAATAGATTAGGCTGCCAACAGCCTCTCTGTATTTCTTCACATCCACCATTTTAGGTGCATCTTCAGTGTAATCTAACTTTTGGTCACAAGGTGTGTCCCTTACCCTACACTCCTGCATGTCAAAACGTTCCAGTATCTTTTCCACGTATCTCTTTTGTGATACTTTCACACAGCCGTCAGACTGACTGAAATCCATGCCCAGAAAATGATTTAATCTCCCTAAATCCTTCATTTTAAATTTTGTGGAAAGCATGTTTTTCACTTTCTCTAAAATCTTGGTGTTGCTGGCTGCGATGATAAGATCATCGACCCAGATAGCAATTATGACTTTCCCCTCTTTAGACTCCTTGGAGTACACGCAGTGGTCTGCCGGGTTCTGTGTGAAATTGTCATCTGTTAAGCATTCATGCAACATCGTATTCCAATTTCGCCCTGACTGCTTCAGGCCGTATTGACTTCTCTAGCTTACACACTAGCTTTCCTCCCTCCTTTACATAACCCTCAGGTTGTTCCATGTAAATGTCGTGATCGATGGGTGCATGCAGGTAGGCTGTCTTTACATCCATCTGGTGTAAAATAAAATCCTCTTGGGCTGCCTTCTGCATTAATTCACGTACACTTGTCAGGTTGGCTGTAGATGAGAACGTCTCTCCGTAATCTATCCCCGCCCTCTGACTGTATCCTTTTGCTACGAACCTAGCTTTGTACTTGTCGTGTCCGTCAACGTCTCCTTTAACTGAATAGACCCATTTACCTCCCACTGTTTTCCTGCCCTCTGGCAATTTTGTCAGGGTAAAAGTCTGATTGTCTTCTAGAGACTTAATTTCCTCATCCATCGCTTTTCCCCAGGTTTCTGACTCGGTCGATGTCATGGCCTCTTTAAAGGTCAGAGGTACACTGCAAACTGCTCTG